TTTCCTTGGCACACAATTGTGCTCGTGAGAGGCGCCCAATCCTGCAGGCAAACTCCAGATGGAGAAAGGAAGGTGGGCATGAAATGGGAAGAAGCAGAGACCTGACACAAGTCATCCTCCACCTACGACCATCCGTTTAACAACCAATGGAAATTATAATGGCACTGGGGAAAAAAAGGGGACGTGCAGCCACTCCTCGCCCTTACAACCACTACAAAATCCCTCCTGGTCAGGGGATCAAAATTTGGGGTTTGTCAACCGGTGACAGTTTCAATGTCTCGGGATCACCTGATTGCCGTCGTTGACCTTCCCAGCTGACCCTGGACAAGTCAAGTCAACGAGGGAAGCAAGTTTTACTTAACAACTGCCCAATTTGTTTAACAATTGCAGCGATTCAGGTAACAGCCGTGGCTCTAAAGATTGTAAAATTTGGGCGTGCCTTGCTTAAGGACCCCTTTGCTTAACAACGGAAACAACGGTCCAAATTGGGGTCACTAAGCCGAGGACTCTCAGTACTGTGGAAATAAATGCCAGATTTTATTTTTTATTTTATTTTTTTGCGGAGGGCAGAAATTGGCAAGAGGCTTCTTCTCCCTTCAAAATACTGACCATATTTAAAAAGACGCAGTTTGGCACAAAATCCATTCCATATTGTTCTTCTCCCCCCCACAGCCCACCCCCCCAAGCCCCCTCACCCCCACCCCAAGGAAAGCATGATATGCAATGCACCTGCAAAACTGCAACAGGATTTTTGTTCGTTGTAAAAAATAAGGAGAAAAAGAATCTCAGCTGGGAGGAAATGCAGGGTTTTTTCACTGCCTGCAAAAAGCGTTCCCTAACTGCAAATCTTGGTCGATAAAATGCTGAATTGCAGTCATTCTTACTCCATAAAATCAGTGCAAGATGCTATAGAGATATTGCTTCCTTAAAAAAAAAAAAAACAACACACACATTAATAGTATAGAAGGTTCACATTTTGTTGTGGGGTTTTTTTTTGTTTTTTGTTTTGTTCTCTAGTGGTTTTTTAGAGTCTTAAGACCCTCCCTTCAGCCTAAGAAGGAAAACAGACACATGCTACTACCTAAGAGATTAATTAACCCCCACCCGTTATACATCCCAACCTCTACCGGCTGGAATCGTTGGCCTAAGCGAGCCGGTCAGTAGATCAAACTCTTTGTTTTAAGAGCTTCGAGACACGATGGGCCGTGTGCTAAGTTCTTTCCTTGCAGATCTGAACCACCACCTGGCGGTTGGCAGACAGTCTGAAAGGAACCATTTTCTCTTTGAGAGTCATCAAAATATTGCAGAAGTCCATAACTCAGTGCTGAAGAGTCGAAGGGGGAGGTTGTTTTAATGCAGCATAGGAAAATCTGTGCCAGAGGGACAGACAAGGACCTGGCCAAGCCCTCAAGAGAAGCACTTGGCTGGAGAGCTTCTCTCTTTAGTTACTTTTCCAGCTTCTTCCGAGTCTCAAGTTGTGAGGAGGACACTAAATGTGCCAGCCAGCAACTTCTGTCCCAGAGGATACTGGGGCCCTCGTATGTGGGGCTTCTCCTCTCCAACGTCAAGAAACTTTAGGTCACCAACTCCATTGCCAACCAGCCTAGTTCAACCAACACAATGTCTAGGTTAGACGTCCCCCAGTAACATCACCCTATTTTGTACACCTTGGTGGGGTCTTCCGTGAAGAGATAGGCTTTGACCTCACAACCGAATGACAGAACCAGGAACAATCACCCACCAGACAAGCCAACAATCTGAGGTCTCCACTCAAGCTAACTTTTCCAGTCCCTTTTGGATCACCACCCCCATCATGAGAAGGAACACACGAAGAGCAAGCTACCGCAAACACTAGCAATAACATGTGGTTGATTTGTTCAGTCTTGCTGGCCAACTCTAGACTCTGATCATCCTTGGAGGGGAAACCCAGCACGATCGAGAAAATCTTGGTTAAAATGCTAGCCACCGTCAAAAAGCAGACAAGCTGGCGAGCTCCCTATGGACAGAGAGAACGTCAGGAGCCTGATATGTAAACATTGCAGGGAGATACCCTGTTTTTTTTTTTAAATTTATTTATTCATTCCTTTGTTCATCCATTGCACCCTCTTGAGGGTGAGATGCAGAGGAGGAGATAACCCAGTGGTCACCCTGCGGCAGCTAACCAAACAACAAGAAGACTGAGAGAGAGAGAGATGCAGAGTCCTACTGAGAGAAAAGCCACCACTTGGGTGGCGGGACCTGTTCTTGATGTAGCCTTCATGGCTACTCAGCGTTTACACTGAGAACAGGAAGCCCTGATCAAACTATATGTTTTTTTAAAAAAAAAAAATACATGAAGACTAGAACACCCTCACTGGAGCGTTCATGAATGAAGGGAGCAGATGAGTAAAGGCCATCTCACCATGGTGGGTTAGTAATACTGCTGGTTTATACTACAGCAAGTTCTCAACCTTGCAGCTTGAAGTGGTGGGGACTTCAACTCCCAAAATTCTGTTGGGAGACTGAAACCTCCTGAGATACAACAGGTCTGCTGGGTGGGGAATTCTGGGAGGTGACGTCCACACCTCCTCAAGCTGCCATGGTTGAGGAACACCATACCAGAAGAAGTGACTAAACAGAGAAGAAGAAAGTCAGAAAGAAAATATCTGGGCTTGAAGAGAAGCTCAACAGCCCATAATACTGACAACTTCCCCTTCTTCACCGGGTGCATCTGACCGGTCCCCCGAGGCAACAGGAGCTTTCATTGCCACGTTGTTCCTTCCAGATGTCCCACAACTGTTGTTAAGAGTTGTAGCTAAAATCTGGGGTTTGTGCCTTTCCAGGTTTAGATGGCACCTCCTGAAACATCTGGGAAGGTCCTTCTGTGACCCAAACACAACTAGGTGTGAGATTAGAGGGGACGCACCTCACTTGGGAAGGAAGACCCAACAAATGGACCACAGGAAGGAGAAGGCGTCCACACCCTGACTCCACGAGTCCAACTTTCATCCCACAAGAAGTACCTGACCATCTCCTTCCAGGACACGGAGGTCCAACATGTTGTTTCTCAGGAGGTCCAACATGTTGTATCTCAGGGAGTTCAACATGTTGTATCTCAGGAGGTCCAACATGTTGTATTTCAGGAGGTTCAACATGTTGTATTTATTTATTTATGAGACTTATATACCGCTTTGAGTGCAAGCACTCTCTAAGCGGTGTACACCAGCAAGCAATGTATATATATATTTACATTGCCCCCAACAATCTGGGTCCTCATTTTACCTACCCTGGAAGGATGGAAGGCTGAGTCAACCTTGAGCCGGTGAGATTTGAACCGCTGACCTGCTGAACACAGTCAGCTAAAGTGGCCTGCAGTACTGCACTCTAACTGCTGCGCCACCTCGGCTCAAGTATCTCAGGGAGTTCAACATGTTGTATCTCAGGAGGTCCAACCTTCTTTGCAATGGGGGACCCTCGTCCCAAACCACAGGAAGAGTCACCACGGCAACTCTGGGCCAGATTCCCAGCAAGACAAGAAGACACCGATCACAAAAGCTCTCTGCTCTCTCTGGATCCAGTTCTCTACCCATGGTTTCTCCTCCTCCTTCAGAAGAACACAGAAGACAGATCTTATCTGCAACACGTTCACCTAAGCACCTCATTTGATTTCTTTTTGATCACCAGGGTTGGGAAACAGAGAAAAAGGACACAGCTTTCCCCTGTTAAAAATAAGAATACAGGTAGTTCTCGATTTACAACCATTCATTTAGGGACCGGCACTGAGAAAAGTGACTTAGGAACACTTTTCATGTTGATGACTGTCACAGCATCTCCATGGTCACTTAATCTAAATATGGGCGCTTGGCAACTGGCGTGTACTTACGACCGTTGCAGCGTCCCGAGGTCACGTGATCCCCATTGGTGACCTTCCCAGCCGGTTTCCGACAGGCAAAGTCAAGCGGGGAGTGGGGGGGGGGAAGTCAGATTCGTTAAAGGATCACCTGATTCCCTTAACGACTAGAGTGATTCGCTTAACAGCTGTGGGGAAAAGGCTGTAAAACGTGGACAAAAGTTCACGGAACCACCGGCTGTCTCGGCTTAGCAATGGAAATGTCAGGCTCATTTGTGGTCGTAAATTGAGGACTACCTGCAACAATGCACTTTAAATAATAGTTGTTTGAACTGAACAAGGTCGTGACCCCATCACAGGGTCAGTCTAAGCCCGGGGGTCGAGAACCTGGGCTCTTTTATGACTGGTGGCCTTCAATTCCCAGAATTCCTGAGCCAGCTGTGCTGAGGGGAAAAGGAGAGGTTTCCAAGCTGAGCCAGGCTGGCTCAGGAATTCTGGGAGTTGAAGTCCACGAGTCATGAGGGGGCCATTGTTCCCCCATGCTGGCTCAGGAATTCTGGGAGTTGAAGTCCACGAGTCATGAGGGGGCCATTGTTCCCCCATGCTGGCTCAGGAATTCTGGGAGTTGAAGTCCACGAGTCATGAGGGGGCCATGTTCCCCCATGCTGGCTCAGGAATTCTGGGAGTTGAAGTCCACGAGTCATGAGGGGGCCATAGTTCCCCCATGCTGGCTCAGGAATTCTGGGAGTTGAAGTCCACCAGTCCTAAAAGAGCCAAGGTTGCCCCCCTCCCTGGGACTCCAGCCCAACCTCTCGTTCTCCAACCTCATCTTGATTTAGAATGAACGACGCAACTCGGAAGCACAAACCCGCTCCCTTGTTTCACTACGAGAGAGAAGCAGAATATATTACGGCGGGACTCGTGTCAGGCTTTCGGCCCAGGCCTAACTCCGTTCCCCCCGTTTTCCTTCCCAGACCCGACCTGTGATCGTCCACCCGTGGTCCAAGCTCCGGGTGGACGTGGGGAAGGGGTACGGGGAGCCCAGCGAGGGAGGCTGAAACTGGTCTGCTCTCTCGAGGAGAAAGACACTGTCTACAGAGGTTGCCCTTGCTCCATCGGACTCGCTTGGAAAACCCAGAAACAAAGAGGGAAAGAAAGAGGACTGTTTTTCTTTTTTTAACAAAAAAATCTTTTTTTTTCTTCTATTAAAATTCATCAACTGAAAGAAAAGAAAAGATCACCATATATATATATATAGATAGATAGAGAGAGAAATATATACACAATCAGGCCACACCATTGGTGAAATAAACGTCCGGCAGAATATGAAGGGCTGCTTCCCCGTCAGAGGGGGCTCTGTGTGTTTGTGTGTCTGGATGTGTGTGTGTGGCAGAGAGAAGGGCACTGGGCAGGGGCCGGTGTCATGGCGGTTACCATTTTTCAAAGGGCTGATTGAACCTATTCCTCTCCCCCCCCCAAGCCTTCTCTTTGCCCTCCTCTTATCCCACTTTCTGTGGGTTGGTGGCCCGGACTCCTTGCTCGTACGTTACTCGCTGGCTGATGAGATATTGCGCGGCTTGAGTGGCAGCTGGTGTGCCCGTGATGGTGACTTTACGGTTCCTGGTACCTGGGATAAACTCCCCTTTTTTGGAAATCTGGATCCGGGCCCCCGTCAGCTCCTGATACTCGACCAACGTCTTCCCACCTTTGCCCAAAATGGCACCCACTAGGTTTTCCGGCACTGCGATCTCCACCATATCTTTGGCGCTTTCCACCAGCTTCTCAGTGGCGAGGAAGGAGCTGGCCATCAACGGGGAGGCGGTCCCTAAGTAGCCGTTGGCCGCCCCGGTGGCCGCTGCTAAAGAGCCCAAGGTGAAAGCGCCAACTGCACCAGCCGGGGCTGTGGTACTGGTAGAAGCTTCGTTGGCGTACGAAGCTAAGAGGTTAGCGGCGGCCGCAGCAGCTGGGTTGGCTCCAGCAGCCACCGCGGCCAGGACTCCAGAAGCGGCGGCCGAATTGAGGCCGAGCCCCAAAGAATTGGTGTTGTATCCATAACTCGCTAAGGTGTTGAGGGCTGTGCTGATGGCCAAGAGGTCGCTGCCGGAAAAACCGGGCAGGGCAGCCGGGAATGCTCCGACGCCAGCCAAGCTGGTGTGGCCCAACAAGCCTGAAGCAGTGGCAGCAGCGGCGGCCGCTGGTAGAACGTCTGTAGAGTTGGCGTAGGGTGATCCGGTTGGATTAGAGTTGGCCACCGGGCCGGTAATGTTGGCATAGCTGATGTTGAGGCAGCTGCTGCTCTGCGGATCCTCCTGGATCTTCTGAACGATGATGTCGACGGCCTTGTGGATCTGCTCAGGTTCACCGCTGATGGTCACCACGCGTTCTTGGAGGTTGATGCCTTCGGGCTTCTGGCTCAGTTGGACCCAAGCGCCGGACTGTTCCATGATGGCTTTGACGGTGGCCCCGCCCTTGCCGATGATCAGCCCGGCGGTGCTGTTCGGGACGATCACCTTGGCCTGAATTTGGGGGAGACAAGAGGAAGAGCATTGAGTTGGGATTGTGGCTTCTGTTTTCCCATGAGGCTCCTTTGATAGGTGCCAGGATGGAGCACTGTGCTAAAATGGGATTGTGTTGTTTCCGAGCTAGTGTGTCGTGGGAACCAGACCATCATGTTAATCCCACCAGGTGAAAGTAGCAATTGAATGAATCACTCGCTCATCGATATAAATGTATTTTCAGAAATTCTAACCACCCTGCAAAGTGGGCCAGCCAATCCTCAACTTACAATCACACTTGAGCCCATATATATATATATATATATATATATATATATCGCTAAGTGAGACATTCGTTATGTGAGACTTGCCCCCATTTTATGACCTTTCTTGCCACAGTTGTTAAGTGAATCACTGCAGTCATTAAGTTAGTAACACGGCTGTTAAGTGAATTTGGCTTCCCCATGGACTTGGCTTGCCAGACAGTCGCAAAAGGGGATCACAGCATCCGGGGATGAGGAGACTGTCATAAATATGAGCCACTTGCCAAGCATCCAAATTTGGATCACGGGACCACAGGGATGCCACAACAGTTATAAGTGTGGGAAATGTAACTGTAACTGCCGAACTGTTGTAAGTCGAGGACAACCTCAGCTCCTCTGCAATCCAATTCACCCGGGTCTTTGTCAGTGGCAAGTTAAAAAGTCGTATAAAATAAATAGCAGACCATGCAGGCCCGTTCATTTTCTTCCTCTCCCCCCCTTTTTTTTAAATAAAAAAAAATTATCCTATATTCTTTATTTGCCAGGCAGCCTCATTGCAAAACTGCCTTCAGCACCACGGACAGCGTCCTTCTCCCTCCATCGAAGCCCTGAAGAAGGACACTTCCGGATTGCCCCCCCCCCCCTGCTTTCTGACAATGCCCTTTAAATGGAGGGACTGGCGAAGTTTTGACGTGTTCGGGCTGCAGGCGTTCCATCTTAGACATGATAGAAAGTGAAATCTGTGTCTGAGCGTACACACAGGCACACATGCCCAAATGCACCCACGAGAGGAAAGGAAAACTTGTTCTACTTATAGCTGGAACCTCAGGTGCTCTTTACCAACAAGCAGGGGGAAATATACATGATGCACGAGGCCCAGACGCTAACTTTGGCTGCTTGGTTCTGTGCCAGGATGGTGACTTTAGGAGACAAGGATGCGCTCAGGGAAGTTTTGGGGGTGCCTCTGCAGAACAGCAGAGCGACCGCACACGGCTTTAGTCAGAAGGCATTCCGTGGATACTGGGATTAATCCAGGGGTAGGCCACCTTGGCTCTTTTATGACTTGTGGACTTTAACTGGCTCAGGAATTCTGGGAGTTGAAGTCCACAAGTCATGAAGGGGCCATAATTCCCCCATGTTGACTCAGGAATCCTGGGAGTTGAAGTCCACGAGTCACAAAGGGGCCATAGTTCCCCCGTGCTGGCTCAGGAATTCTGGAAATTGAAGTCCACAATTCATGAAGGGGCCATAATTCCCCCATGCTGGCTCAGGAATTCTGGAAGTTGAAGTCCATGAGTCATGAAGGGGGGTCACAGTTCCCCCATGCTGGCTCAGGAATTCTGGGAGTTGAAGTCCACGAGTCATGAAGGGGCCATAATTCCCCCATGCTGGCTCAGGAATTCTGGGAGTTGAAGTCCACCAGTCATGAAGGGGGGGTCACAGTTCCCCCATGCTGGCTCAGGAATTCTGGGAGTTGAAGTCCACCAGTCATAAAAGAGCCAAGGTTGCCTACCCCTGGCTTAAGTTATACTTCCAAAATTCAGATTATAATTAAATGTGCGGAGCCTTGAACTAGATGGTGTGCTTGTGTTTGTTTGTGCTTGGGTGTGTTGCTTTAATAATGCTGTTGGCTCTGGCGATGGGAGTGGATATGGGTAGCCCTTGACTTGCGACCACAGTTGAACCCAACTTTTATGTTGCTAAGTGAGAAATTTGTTAAGTGGTTTTTGCCCTGTTTTATGACTTTTCTCGCCACCGTTGTTAAGTGGATCACTGCAGATGTTAAGCTAGTAACCTGATTGTTAAGTGAATTGAGCTTCCCCTTTGACTTGGGGTCAAATTCTACTTTCTCAGCCCAACCCACCTCACAGGGTTGTCGTTTTGAGAGAAACGTTTTGAGAGAAGGAGTGTTAGATATCTTTGTCAGCTTGAGTTACTTCCAAAAATAATAAAGGCAGGATTAAAAAAAAAAAATTTTTTTAAAAAAGGCATTTTCATAGGAATGTGGGAAGAAGGTCGCAAAGTCTTCTGAAAAAGGGAAGGTATTTTTAGAAGCGAAGGATGTATTTAAGGAACACCTTCCCTCTTTCCGCCTCTATCCAGGCGGGTAGATAAAGTGACTCCTCTACCACATTCCTGCCTTCTGTGTAAAATGTGGGATCATCTTTGTGCCCGGCTTGTGGCCACAGCCCACAACTAGTTGTCATAGCAACGGCACAATCCAGGGAAAATGCAGACCTGTGATCCAATCTTTTTGCTCTATATGAAGCTTGCATGGAGGGAGGAAGGGAGGGAGGGAGAGAGAGAGAGAGAGAGAAATTGAGAGAAAGAGAAAAAGAGAGAAAGAAAAAACAAAAAAAGAAAAAGGAAGAGAGACAGGAGAAAGAGAAAGAAAGAGAAAGACAGAAAGAAAGGGAGAGAGAAGGAGGGAGAGAGAGAAAGAAAGAAAGGAAGGAAGGAAGGAAGGAAGGAAGGAAGGAAGGAAGGAAGGAAGGAAGGAAGAAAGAAAGAAAGAAAGAAAGAAAGAAAGAAAGAAAGAAAGAAAGAAAGAAAAAGGAAAGAAGGAAAGAAGCACCATAGCTTTTCAGGGCATTTTCTTCTTGTAATTTAAAACCCCTCCGGCGTGAAACAACCCCGTCCCTCACCTGCTTGGCTCGGTCGGGGTTCATGGTGGTCTGTGGCTGCAGGATATTGACGGACTCGGGTTTCACCACAGACTGGGGGATTTCCCGCACCTTCTCGGCAATAAAGTTGTGGACTGCGTTGAGGGCTTCCGCGGTGCCTTGCACGAGGCATACCCGCTCCGTGGTCCCTGGATGGGAGAAAAATCACATTTTAAAATAGCACTTGTCTGAAACGGTATAGGGTTTCCTGCCTGAGCAGGGGGTTGGACTAGAGGACCTTGGAGGTCCCTTCCAATTCTGTTATTCTATTCGAGCATTCGGCAGCCTTGGAAGGGGTTGAGGTCAGCTGGGTCCCTTTTTCCTGGAAGGGGTTTCCTCCTGGAAAGGCAAGCGGCGACGAACGGCTTTGGGTAGCGAGACGGGCAGCGTATAAATTTAATACAGGTGGTCCTCGCCTTACAACGTTCATTTACTGACCGCTTGAAGTTACAATGGCCTTGGAAAAATGGCCTTACGACCGTTTTCCACGCTTGCGACCCTCGTAGCATCCCCAATGTCTCGGGATCAAAATTCAGGCGCTGGGCAACTTCCTCCAGGATCTTGGAGGAAGAAAGATTCTCTCTCTCTCTCAGCTGCTACTTGATCCTACTCCTTGCAAATGTGGAGTCCTAGGCTTCTGGACCCCGATTCTCCCTTTTTAGGGACCCGAAATGGAGGGTCCAGCTTGCCTTCCTTCCATTTTGTGTGGGAAAAGATGAAAGAGCCGAACACTTCAGGATTCCCTTTGCTTTGTGCGTTGACGTCCCAGTTCAAAACGCAAAGCAAAACGACTCCGGGGGTCCTTCCGTCCAGAATTCGGGAATCTTTGCCCTTGGGATGACATGGCCCCACCCACTTTGCTCTCTGGCCCCGCCCACTGCAGTTCTCTGGTTCTCCCCGTGTGGCTGTATTTTTATGGAGAGGGCTTCGGGCAGGGGAAGCAGGTGCTCCACTCCGACAGTCAGCTTCAGGAAAGGAAGAGAGCCAGGAGGAGGAGGAGGAGGAAGGGAAGGAAGGAAGGAAGGGAAGAAGGAAAGAAGAAAGGAAGGAAGGAAGGAAGGAAAGAAAGAAAGGAAGGAAAGAAGGAAGGGAAGGAGGGGAGAAGGAGAAATACTAAGATACATATCAATTGACTGCTAATTGACCTATTGGGGAGAAGGAGGAGGAAAAGGAGAAGAGGAAGGAGGAAGAAAGCAAGGAAGGAAGGAAGGAGGGGAGAAGGAGGAGAAGGAGAAATACTAAGATACATATCAATTGACTGCTAATTGACCTATTGGGGAGGAGGAGGAAAAGGAGAAGGGGAAGGAAAAGTGAGGAAGGAAGGAAGGAAGGAAGGAAGGAAGGAAGGAAGGAAGGAAGGAAGGAAGGAACAAATAAGGATTTCTAGAAGACTGCACCCTCCAGCCAAATGCTTGCCCCCACTCAATCACGCCCCCCACCCCCAAGATGGGTCCCCCCCCCGCATCCTCTGGCTTGCGATTGCCATGGCAACTCACCAGTGGCTCTTCTCGCCCTCCCAATGGCCTCCAGGGCCCATTGCCACGGCAACCAGCACCCCCTCATCAGCAAGAGGAGGCAGCTTGGTGGGGGAGGGGAGGAGACGGTCGCCAAGGCAACCAGAGGATGAGGAAAAGAGGGGACCACCTTGCCCACGGGGGGGGGCAGCACAATCATCTTCTGCTGAGGTTGCATCGGAAGCCGGTTTGGGGGGGACGGTATGAAAAGACACAAGAGCCCCCCCCCAATCACCATATTGGAACCCCCAGCATCCTACTTGGGAGGGAGAAGGCATTCCTGGCTAACAGGAAGCTGCCATGGTGTTCCTGAGCATGTGCAGAATGTGCTCCTGTGCACCTCTGAAATTAAGGAAGAGACACCCAGGCACATAGAAACACCCCCATTTGAGAAGATTTGGAGTGCTCTGATACGGGCCATTGTAAGACTCGTGGACTTCAACTCCCAGAATTCCCCAGCCAGCCATTGCTTCCCTCCTTGATTAGTTTCCATCCATCGTTTCTTGTCTTGCCTTCAGGCGCTTTGGAAAATAAACTGACCCCCTCTTCTTTGGGGCAGCCCCCCAGATACTGGCACGCTGCTATCCCGTCCCCCCTAGACCTTCTTCTTCTCTAGACTGGCCAGACCCAAATCTTGCAACTGTTCTTCATCGGCTTCAGGCCTCGCCAGCCCTGAAGGGCAGCCCCCCAGCCCGTGTCCTGCCCTTCACCTTATCACCAGGCGCATTTCCTGCCATTCAATCCGTTTCCCCCCGCCGGCCGGTCTGGTCAGGCCCTGCCCAGCCGGCCTTTCCTGTTTCCTTTCTGTTCTCTCCCCCCCCCCCCGCCCCAGAACTCTGTTGCTGCAAAACATCCCATGCAAAACGTCTGCAGAAGATCCCAAGCAAAATTCACGCTTCCAGGGGTGTAAATTGGGGTGCAGAATAATTGTAGCACCCCTGATTTTGATCCAGAGAAGACCCCCCTCTTTTTTTCTTTTCTTTCTTTTTTTTTTATTTGCAGGCTGCTTCTCCCCGTCCCCAAACTAAGAGTCTGAATTTTAAAATGCAGAGGCAATTCTCAATCCAAGCATCCATAAAATAGAATAGAATAGAATAGAATAGAATATAGAGAATAGAGAATAGAGAATAGAATAGAAATAGAGTAGAATAGAATAAAATAGAGAATAGAGAAGAATAGAATAGAATGGAGAATAGAATAGAATAGAATACAGAAGAATAGAATAGAATAGAATAGAATAGAATAGAATAGAATAGAATAGAATAGAATAGAATAGAGCAGTGGTTCTCAACCTTTCTAATGCCGTGACCCCATAATACAGTTCCCCATGTTGTGGTGACCCCCAAGGGGGTGTGGCCACCAATAAGAGGGAGTAGGACAGCTAGGGAAAGGGGAAAAAATGGCGGACAGCATGGTTTGGTGACCCCCGTGAAATGGTCGTTCGACCCCAAATGGGGTCCCAACCCACAGGTTGAGAACCACTGGAATAGAGAATAGAATAGAATAGAATAGAATAGAATAGAATAGAATAGAATAGAATAGAATAGAATAGAATAGAATAGAACAGAACAGAAAAATAGAATAGAATAGAATAATGGAATGAAATAGAAGAATAGAACAGAATAGAAAAGAATAGAACAGAATAGAATGGAATGGAATGGAGTGGAATAGAATAGAATAGAGGAATCAAATGGAATAGAATAGAAGCTGGAAGGGACCTTGGAGGTCTTCTAGTCCAGCCCCCTGCTCAAGCAGGAGACCCCATATCATTTCTGACAAATGATTGTCCAATCTCTTCTTAAAAACCTCCAGTGATAAAGCGCCCACGATTTCTGGTGTCCAGCTGTTCCACTGGTTCATTGTTCTCACTGTCAGGAAGTCTCTCCTTAATTCCAGGTTGCTTCTCTCCTTAATCAGTTTCCAACCATTGTTTCTCATCCTGCCCTCTGGTGCTTTGGAGAATAACGTGACCCCCTCTTCTTTCCGGCAGCCCCTCAGATACTGGAATACTGCTATCGTGTCCCCCGTTTTTTCTTTTCTCTAGACTAGCCAAACCCAAGTCTCCCTTTGTGTCCATTTCCCTGCCCAGGCCTGCCACCCTCGCCAACCCTCCCTCCTCTGACTGGCACCAGAAGCTGCCCTTCCACGTTCAGAGAAAGCCCAGCCAGCAGCAGGAACTTTAAACCAGTGTCGGATTTTTCAGCAGGATTGCCCGGGGCATAGGAAGAGAGCAGCCCTCCCCGAGTTTAATTTGCAAAAAAAATTGCAATTTTTTTGCAAATGCAGGCAGCTAAAATGCCCCCAAAGCGCCAGGCGCCGTCAAGGGCACCTGGCTCTGCCTCTTGACGCTACGTTTTCCACTCCTGCCAAATCCTGTCAAATAGAGAGGGTTCATTTCCCTTTGGAGGAAAAGGGGAGGGGAGGGAAGGGAAAGGGGGGGAGGGCTCCCTCCTGGAAGCTGCCAGCAAATAGGGCACCTGCTCCCCATCGCCATGGCAACACCATCCAGGCTGATTTCTTCCTCTCTCTCTCTCTTTTTCATCCGCCCAAGCATCCTTTATATATATATATATATATATATATATATATATATATATATATATATATATATATATATATATATATATATATTTTATTTGCATCAGGAGGATTTCCTGGCCAGCCACTCTAAAACAGCTATGGAGGGTTTGAGAAGGCAAAGCGGCTTAGCCGGGCTGCCCCACCCCAAGGGTTGTTTGTCCTTCAATCCCAGCTGGGATTAAAGAGACCCAAAAAGAGGGCAAGAGGAGGGATGCCCAGGCTCATCCAGTCACCTCTGTAGCCTGGACTTGCTTTTCCCTGCTCCCCACCCCGTCCCAACCCGTGCCCAGGGTTGCCCTCTGCAGATCCTTCGGTCGGCCGGACCTTCTCTGAATATGGAAGGATAGGATAGGGAATGCTCCAACACTGGAAGTTTTTATGAAGAGATTGGACGACCATTTGCCTGAAATGGGATAGGGTCTCTTGCCTGAGCAGGGGGTTGGAATAGATGACCTCCAAGGTCCCTTCCAAGTCTGTTATTCTATTCTATTCTATTCTGTTCTGTTCTGTTCTTACTTGTAATTCTATTCTACTCTATTCTACTCTACTTTCTATTCTATTCTATTCTGTTCTATTCTATTCTTATTTGTAATTCTATTTATTTTATTCTATTCTATTCTTATTTGTAATTCTATTCTATTCTATTCTATTCTATTCTATTCCATTCCATTCCTCTATTCTATTCTATTCTACTCTATTCTATTCTACTCTATTCTACTCTACTTTCAATTCTATTCTATTCTGTTCTATTCTATTCTTATTTGTAATTCTATTCTATTTTATTCTATTCTATTCTTATTTGTAATTCTATTCTATTCTATTCCATTCCATTCCATTCCCTATTCTATTCTATTCTATTCTATTCTATTCTATTCTATTCTATTCTATTCTATTCTATTCTATTCTATTCTATTCTATTCTATTCTATAGGATTGGGCACCATTCAGATGGTGGAAGGCCTGAACAGGGAAATGGAGACAAAGCCAGATGCAAAGGAAAAGGTCCAAGGTCATGAGAGGAGGAATGGAGAGAGCTAGACCAGGTTGTCCCTGCTGAGAAACCTCTGGGGGCTTTGGAACTACAATTCCCATCACACCCCTGCAAGACAAGACTTCACAGCCTCAGCACAGCTCAAGCAGAAACACAGCAAGTCTTTTCCTCAGGGTTTCTCAAACTTGGTAACTTGAAGACCTGCGGACTTCAGCTCCCAGAATTCCCCATCAAGCTAAGACAATTAGTAGAGGAAGTCCACGCTGGCTGGGGAATTCTTGGAATTGAAGTCCATCTGTTTTCAAGTTCACCAGCATACAGGCTGGGGAATTCTGGGAGTTGAAGTCCACCCGTCTTAAAATTCAATAGCATGCTGGGTGGGGAATTGCTCAACTGCGGTCGTAAGCCAAGGATTTCCTTGCATTCCGTTTTGGAGTTAATACTTGTCTGGAAATGTACAATGCACCTCCATAATATTTAGAGAAAGAAAAAGAAGAAGAAGTAATATCCCCGAAGCCAAACAGAACGTGCCGTTTTATGCCGCTCTGCTGCGCTTCGTGGGGAGAAAGGTGGACGGGGCCACTCACCCGGGTAGAAGTCCTTGGATTTGGAGAGCTTAATGGTGGCTCCAGTTTCCTTCTGCAGCTGGACGATGGTTTGACCCCCTTTGCCGATGATGGATCCGGCGGCATAGCTGGGGATCAGGACCTTAAGGAAGTACTCGCCCTCTTCTGCAGGAAAGGAAACAGAGGCAAAAAAATCTCGCGAGGCGTCGCAGACATTCCCGATCAAGCAAAAGCCGCCACTTTTGCCGGCTGCGGTGAATCTAGGAAACGACTCCAGGGAGTCCTCGAATTACGACCGCTTGCTAGCGACCATCCCAACTTACAACGGCACTGGAAAAAGTGACTTACGACCCTTTGGCTTCCCATTACGACCATCGCGGTCTCCCTGGGGTCATGTGATCACAATTCAGACGCCTGGCAACCGGGTTGATATTTATGACGGTTGCCAGGTCCCGGGATCAAGTGATCCCCTTTTCCAACCTGCTAACCACCAGAGTCTACGGGGGAAGCCAGATTCACTTAACAACCGTGTGACTCGCTCCACTAACCGCAGGGATTCATTTAAGAGCCGTGGCGAGCAAGGTCGTAAAATGGGACAAAAGTCGCCTAACAACTATCTTGGGTGGCAGGCGAAATTTCGAGTCGTAAGTTGAGCACCATCTATAACTGGGCTTGAGCCTTGAGGCCCATTATGGAATGGGGTCACTTTGTGTAGCTTTCAGACCAGAACTGCAAAGGGCAGGAAGGTTGCAGCTGGGATCCGGACTTTTAATTTATTTTTATGTATTTATTAGGCTAAAGGTGACTCTGGGTGGCTTACGAACATCACAAGCCTTTAAAGGTGAAAATAATAAATAGCAACAACAATAATGTTTATAATTAAAAGATGGGGAGGAAGGAAGCGAGAGACACACAACTGGGGTCTTCTCCTAACCCGATCCCTTTTCCCCATAATAACTGTAGCCGCATCGTCGAATTAAGGACTACCTACAAATAAATTATTCTGCAGAAAGCGAAGTCATATTCTCCGGGTACTGGCCCATCCCACAACTCTTAGTTCTCCAACTCGGCACTGAATCTGAAACTACAATCAACACCTGAACAGCCATCAACACCCTAATTAACAACTAAAAACCACACCTAATCCGGCCACCGTATAAATACAGGTAATCCTGGACTGTTGTAAGTTAAGGACTACCTGTACAATGGGTAGAACAATCAGAATTCTATTCTATTCATCTTTCTTCTCTTCCTATATTCTATTCTATTCTATTCTATTCTATTCTATTCTATTCTATTCTATTCTATTCTATTCTATTCTATTCTATTCTCCCTATAAATAGTTTATAGAATATAATAAACCCTTTTCTATATTTTATTCCATTCTATAAACCCTATAAGTGGCAAATGCTGGAGCAGGACTTGGACTAGAAGACCCCCAAAGTCCCTTCCAACTCTGTTCTTCTATTATTCTGTTACTCTGTTATTCAGTATTCTGTGTTCCATTCTGCAATCCTGAGGACTAGAAGCTTGACTTTGCTTCCAAGCTGAACAAAACTCTTTTTATTCCTCACCCACTTTGACTCCGCCCTCACTTTCAAACTCCGCCTCGGAACAGTCTTCCCCTAACCTCAGTGGCAACTGTGGTTTTCTTACGCTTGTGTGAATGGAGCTGTTTCATTCATCCTCGCATTACAATCCAAAGCTCTGACTGCAGCTATTTCCAGCACCAGGGAAAAGCCGATCCTGAAACTGCAGGCTTGAAGCAAAGTGGCTTTGCTGTAATTTAATAATCAGTAGCATAATCTAATTTGCTCTGTCTGCTCAAAATGAGAGTTTCGTTACGAAAAAAAAAAAAAGAGAGAGAGAGAATGCCGTTACGATTTTGTCCAAGAGACTCAAGCCAACAGAGCTGTGGCAAGTGTGCTAACTTTCCAGCCTCCACGGCTGTGCTTAAAATATTAATTTTTGCCCTGACTCCTTTAGCCGAAGCATTTTCAGATATTTGGATATAATTGGAGGAGAATTGCTGCCGCTTTACCTCCTCTTTTGATTGCGTAATGACTCAGTTGAGAGAGAGAAGAATCAGCTCTCAGGATGCCAAAACGGTTGCATTCTCCAGGACAGGCAGTCCTCGATTTACAGCATTCGTTTAGTGACTGTGTGAAGTTACAGCGGCGCCGGAAAAAGTGACTAAGGACCGTTTTTCACACCTAGGATCATTGCAGCAACCCGCCATCAAAATCCAGATGCTTGGTCACTGACTTGGCCACTGACGGTTGCAGAAGTATCCTGGGGTCACGTGATCCCCTTTTGCCACCTCCTGACGAACGAAGTCCACGAGGGATCCGGACTCACTTAACCACTGTGTTGCTCCCTTAACGACCACAGCGATTCACAGAACAGCGGTGGCGAGAAAGGTTGCAACACGGGGCAAAACCCCCTTAAGAAATGTTGAGTTCAATTATGGATGTGAGTCACAGGCCTGCCTCTCGTAGGATTATGGGCAAGTGCATTTGCGCCCATCTTGGGGTTCAAGGCAACTCTGGAGTCTGAGCGAAAGGACTTCCTGCCTTCCACCCTGCTTACAATCCCCTCTACACACACACAGACACAGACACAGACACACCTTGATTGCAACAACAACAATAACATTAAATCTGGTTTGGCGTTTCTCTGGGAAGCATATGGCGAGCGGCGCAAGGATGCAGGGAGGGAGCCTGCTCTTCTCCGACCTTCCCAATCCATCCCTTCCCTTTCGCTCAGGAGCATCTATTTTTAACCTGACCCGAAAACGGAGGGGTTGCTCCTGTATAGAGCTTGTTACCCTGGAAGGAGGCTGACCTACTTCGGCTGCCGTCTCACCTAGGCTCGGGAAGATGTGATGGAGAAGCTGGTGAGAAAAACATGTGATCTGGTCTCAGCGCTGCTCCTCCAATTGCAAAAGTCTCTCTCCCCCCCCCCCAATGCTTCATTAAACTCTCCCAATTGAGAGAGCAGGCCTCTCTCGTTCACATAGGCACACAAAGATGCCTTCTCTTCCACTGCCTTTTTTTTTTTTTTAAACCAACCTAAACCCCACAGCACAACGGAGCGCCTTGCCCTGTTTTTCTTGGTGACCTACAGAAGGGAAGGCTAAGGTTCCCCATGGAGACCGTCGCGGCTGTTCGGGATAGATGAAAACCAGCGATGGGGGATCATTGGATGGAAAGCCCTCTAGGGCAGTGGTTCTCAACCTGTGGGTCGGGACCCCAGACCATTTCACGGGGGTCGCCAAACAACGCAGTCCGCCATTTCCCCCCCCCCCTTTTCCTTAGCTGTGCTACTCCCTTTTATTCTGTTGGCTTTGGAAAGCCAATAGAATAGACTCTCTTGAATAGAGTCTAATTCGATTGGCTTTCAAAAGCCAATAGGAATTGTCCAGGCTGTCTCTTCCCTGCTGAGCCCGCCAAAAGTCCCGTTCTGCAAACGGTGCTGCACCAGTTGAGTAGTCCTCAACTTACGACCGGTTGAGTAGTCCTCGACTTACAACCGGTTGGGGGTCGCGGCATTAGAAAGGTTGAGAACCACTGCTCTAGAATCTAAGCCCACCCTAGGAAGCGGGGGATTTTCAACTCATGTTCGGGCACAGGAGTAAATTTCAAATCCTAATAGAGCTGGAAGGGACCTTGGAGGTCTTCTAGTCCAACCCCCTGCTCAAGCAGGAGACCCAAGACTTGACTCCCTCTTCTTTGGGGCAACCCCTCAGATATTGGAATCCTGCTATCATGAACCCCCTAGTCCTTCTTTTCTCTAGACTATCCATACCCAAATCCTGCAACCGTTGTTCGTATGTTTTAGTCTCCAGGCCTTTGATCATCTTAGTTGTTCTTCTCTGCACTTTTTCCAAAGTCTCAACAACTTTTTTGTCATGTGGGGACCAAAACTGGACGCCGTACTCCAGGTGTGGCCGTACTAAAGCTTTCGAAAAGGCGGTACTAATGCTTTATGAAAATAAACTTGGCCTAATCCACCTTTGCAGGTTTGCAAAACAGACTGGATCGTAAGCTGGATCCCCGGAATATAGCGAACGACACATACAAACCCAGCAACGCGGAGACAAGAGACAAGATTAAAACTACCCAGACTTTCAAACATTCCAAGTGTGCGGCTGGGAGGCCTTTAGCCGATGGAGTTAAAGCGATTTGCACAAACAGAGATTAGAAATTGGGTGCACCCTAGAGAACTGTCAGACGAGAGATGGATTGCAGGCAAAGTAAAGCCATTTTTTTTTTCTTTTGCAGCCATACAGAATTTATTGGAATGCTTGCAACTCAGCGCTCCTGCCTGAAATAAATGTGCGGGAAGTCAATGCACTTGCCGACAAAGAAATGGATCCATCAAGTCCACTCCTTGCAGTGTCAGCCAGCCCGAAGCTCTTGCTAGCTCTTCCCTTCAGGGCAGGGAAAATTCTCAAAATTCTCAGGGTGGAAGAAGAGTATCTAGAGCAGGGATACCCCGAAGTTTCCCTGGCATTCTGGGAGTTGAAGTCCTCAAGTCTTAAAGTTGCCAAGGTTGGATATCCCTGCTCTAGATACTCTCCTTTCACTCTGGAGTTTTTGGGCCTAAAAAATACCTTTCCTTTTTCAGAAGACTTTGTGACCTTCTTCCCACGCCTTTAATTTTTTTTTTTTTTAAATTCTACCTTTATTATTTTTGGAAATAGCTCAAGGCGGAAAATATACCTAATACTTCTTCGTTCTCATGTGAGGTGGTTTGGGTTGAAAGGGTGGGATTGACCCTAAGTCACCCAGCTAGCTTTCATGCTTAAGGCGGGACTAGAACTCGCCACCTCCTGATGATCAGCCCACAGTCACCTAGTTAGCTTTCATGCTTAAGGCGGAACTCAAACTCGCCACCTCCTGGTGATTGGCCCCGTCATCCAATCAGCTATCGTGCTTAAGGCGGGACTCAAACTCACCACCTGCTGGTGATTGGCCCAGAGTCACCCATCTGGCTTTAATGCTTTAGGCAGCATGGCTGGCTGGGGAATTCTGGGAGTTGAAGTCCGCAAGTCTCAAAAGTTGCCAAGCTTGGACAATCCTTGATCTTGGCATAACTCACTAATACAGAAAAGTCATCAGAGTTTCTAACTATCCACTTTGTGTGTTTTGGGGCCTGGGAGC